CGACTTACCACTACAAGCACGCACAAATCAGGCAACCAACTTGACTTAATTTACACACACAATTGTATTGCAGACAACATTTCGGTAAAACCCCTACACATCTCTGACCATTATTTCATTACATTTCAACTACATTTTGTTACCTGTGCACCTCCAACCCCTATACCGGTTACTTTTAGACGAAACCTACGCTCCCTTTCCCCCTCCCATCTTTCCTCCGTAGTATCCTCCTCTCTTCCCTCACCTACTCATTTCTCATCGCTGGATGTGAATGCAGCAACTGACACTTTATGCTCTACTTTAACCTCTTGTCTTGACGATATTTGTCCTCTCTCCTCCAGGCCAGCACGGGCTGCCCCTTCTAACCCCTGGTTATCCGATGTTCTTCGCGAGCGTCAAACCAAACTCAGGGCAGCAGAGAGAAAATGGCACAAATCAGTATCATCAACACATCTCTCCTCACAGGCACTTTCCCCACTTTATTCAAGCAGGCTTGGGTAACCCCACTGCTCAAAAAACCTACATTAAACACTTTACTTACAGAGAGCTACAGACTCACTGGGGTTCCTCGGGGATCAGTTCTTGGACCCCTCCTCTTCTTCATATACACTACATCACTGGGCCCCATCATACAGGCACATGGCTTCTCCTACCATTGCTATGCTGATGCTATGCACACAGCTCTATCTCTCGTTTCAACCAGATGATCCAGCTACACTCTAAAAAATGCTGGGTTGTTTCAACCCAATGTTGGGTCAAATATGGACTAACCCAAAAGTTAATTTAAAAATGTAACCAAAATTAAACCAAAAGTTGGGTTCCTGGCTGGTGGAATGATCTTCCCACCCCTATCCGGAATGCTGAATCCCTGACAATTTTCAAGCGACAGCTTCTCATCTCTTTAAACGCTACTTGACTTCATCTTAAAAAAAAATAAAAATAATAATTTTCGTTCTCTTTATTTATTCCTTCCCTTTTCTAGCTTGTACTTATTTGAGCAATGCCTAAAACTTGGTATTTCAAGCACTTCGAAAATCTATTTGTGGCAGTCAGTTTTGATATTGTGACGAGCCGCCACAAATAACTCAATGTATAGGAAACACTGGACACTGCTATAAGTCAAATGGCCATAGTGATAACAAAAATAAAATATTTCACACACATTGCACTGCCTGCTGCTCATAACTGCTTAAGAGTGCGCTGGCCACGAGCGAATATATGACATCGTGGAGGCTATATGTTTTCCATCCATTTGGCGATTAGGAAGTCGAGAGTAGTGAGGGCTTGGTGTTTTTAGCTTGCTGAACTCACAGAGGACTTGTCAAATCTCCTTTGTCCTGTCCTCGAATACAAAAGTTTTTTCTCCCTTGGGGATTAATTATTGTGCGTTGTGATGACTGTCTTCCCTGAGCCTTAATAAAACCTCAGCAAAGCTTCAGTGCTGTGCTTTCTGGCAAGCCTTTTGGTCTTCTTGACTCCTTCGAGGATGGAAATGTCATACCTGAAATGTAAACCTATGTTTAAGGGTGGAAACATGTTTGAAGCGCTTTACATACTGTTGGCTGTTTAATTCATAGTCTGCTGTAAAACAACAGAGATGTTTAGCGCATTTAGCTTTACCAGGTGCTTAGATTTTGCTCTAGTTTATCTTTTTCCATTAAAGGGGTCATATGATGCGATTTAAATTTGTCCTTTCTCTTTGGAGTGTTACAAGCTCTTGGTGCATAAAGAAGATCTGTAAAGTTGCAAAGACTAAAGTCTCAAATCCAAAGAGATATTCTTTATAAAATTTAAGAGTCAACCACGCCTACCTAAAAACGGCTCGTTCTAACACGCCCCCACAT